CCCTACAGAAGATAATTATAATTTTCTCTCCTTTGACCAAATTGCAGTGGCTGGCTGATGTTCAGGAAAAGCCCAGTTTAAAAACCCCAGGCAGAGGTGGAAAAACGCCCTTATCTGTGCACCGGGCTGTGTTATTATTCTGTTATTTCATTACAACTTCTGAAATCGGCAAAGGTCACAGCTGAGGCGAATTCTTCACATAGTGTGTTCACCATTTAATATGGCATAAAATAACAGAACCAGTGCCTGGCATTACCAACACATATACTACATGCTAATAAATATATATGCTTAATATTACTGTACGTGTGAATTGGACACTTTACCTATCCATTAAAAACTTCAAAGAAATTAACACCAGAAATGATGGCGACATGTCAGCAGAAACCAACCCCAGAAAGTCAGCGAAGCTCTTCACATAAACCTCTTTTCAGAACAGCCAGTTTATTGGATATGAGGAGAGAGCTTTTGACTGGGCTTAGTATGGATAATCACAGCTGCCTGTATTTCTATGAGAAACAAATGCAAGCATATCAGAACTTATATTTTCAAACATTTCCCTAACAACTACAGGACAGTGCACTTTTGAACCTTACCTCAGCAGCTGGGATGCCTTCAGGTGGGCGACACTGGAGCAACACTTCTTGTTCAAGTGACACTTCTTTCCCAAGAGGTTCTTGGTCAAATGTCTTCCTTAAATCTACAGCAAACAGACAAAAGCAGACTGTGTATCAATATTTGCTTCTATCTTATTGACAGGCAAATGTGAGGGCATATTTTGTGAGCTATGTTTGATAATAAATTCTGAATCAATCGATAATAGTGTGGCGTTAGGAGGGCAGAGAGATTTGGTGGGATGCCCCATAATGCCTGGTGCGGTGTGTATTGGGGTTGTTGAGAGAGAGTGAGTGTGTTCTGTTGCAGTGTGGTTGCACCTGCATGAGAAAATAAATGAGAAAAAGACCAACTCTGGTCTTCAACCCTTAAACCAGGAAATGCTGCAGCAGTACTGATATGCTAACAATAAATCATCAAAAGTAAAAGGCAAGGTAACACATCAATAATAATTTACCATGTGATCAACAGAATTTCTTTAAATGCTAGAAACGGTAACTGAAATTTATGTGTCCCTTCTATTTTCCCCCACCTTCAACACACAGATAAATTGCCTGACACATTTAATCAAAAAACAGTAACCGCATCCACCACAGCATGTCCAAAAATAACACTATACAGCAAGGAGCATTAAAAATACTTTTGCTGCTTTTCATTGGAAGACCAATGTTTAAATACATTTAGAGCATATGGTGCACAGAACAGCAACACATGCACAAGCAACCTTCTGAAACTATCTGTACAAAGGGACATGAACGATACCTCTGCCTTTCTCTACTTAACCATTCCAGTCCTGTTTACAAAGACAAGAAGGACTAAAGAGGGAGACTAACAAGTTGAAATTTCTATCTGTGCTATATAATACAAGAGGTTTCCATAGTGAACATTAAATTCAAGCTCAAATCTTTAAGTGCCAAACTAAGTACACGTGTTAAAAGATTGTGAGATGAACTGCTATTAGTTTTAACCAAAAGTGCAAATGGGTTGTAACGGTTGGGAATCTGCCTCTACTCTGCTTCTACTCTCTAAGTTTCTGAAAGTATACCAAAACATCCTTTTCTCTTTCTACCCACCCCTAAGTGTGTCCATGGAAACTAACCCAGAAATGACCCCAGTTCAGCCATTCAATCTGTGGAAAAGATATGGCAATTCTTCTTCACAGAATGCTATTAATACAGTAATGGACTGCAACTGACATTGTGTGCCAACATAAAAAAGAAATTTATTATATTAGATAGTGCTACAATAGCACATTGGTTTGGAATTTGAGTTTTTGGATGCGACAATACTGTGGTTTGAAAGCGCCAGCAGATGTGCAGTGACACAGATTGTATGGCAGAATCTGTGCTTCACATTCAAAGCAAACTGCACATAAATAACTCTACTGCTCTTGGGTACAACTATTGTAGTGTAATAGGATACATGTCCATGCTGTATCTATCAAAGTAAATAAATCTTCTTCAGTGTATAGGGAGACTGAAGTATTTGTATGAATGGATATAGGATGGACAGAGCTACAGTAATTTTCATACACAGGCATCATCACCTGCAATAAAATAAGACATCCCTACAAAACGAATGAAGAAAGAGGTTCAATTTACTGATGTCAATACTTGGTTTCTTTTTGCTCAATATCTACTGTATTACACGAGAAGGCATTACACTGAAGCAGAGACATTTCACTGCTCAGCTAACACTTCCACATCCCACACCAGAGGAACTAGATCATATTCTTATTACAGCATCCATGATCAGCCTCCATCCAGAAGCCCCAAAGAATACCTACAGTCATTTTGAGGTTATTTTTTTATTTGGGAAAATGAACTTTAGAATAACAAATTCAATGAGCGCTTGTCCCAACTCAACCTTGCACGTCTTCAGGGGAATATGTCATAACACCACTAATTTCAATGTATTAAAAGAAAAAAAAAGCTGAAAGGAATGACTGTTAAACTGAAAGCATTTTCAATAAATGTCTGGTATAAAGTTATATGAAGGAATGACTAGAGGCATGCTCAGGGACATAGCTTGATTGATTTTGATCCAAGGACAGAAAGGAAAAAAGAAACAAAAGGGAAAAGGAAAGGAGGTATGTATTGTAGCAGACCAAAGTCTCAAAAGGACACTGTTGTTTGAAATGTTAGGAGTCAAACTACTGTTGCTCTGCTGTCAGGAAAAATACAAGCTGTCACTAGGGAGGAAACCACTAGCCTGGCTGCTGAGAGTGCTGTATTGCAGCATGTCATTTTGGTGGTTTTGAATGGACCATAATGCCTAGCAGCCACTTGTGGTAGCAGAGCCCATGGTAAGGTTCATGGCAGATTCTGTTTGCCCCAAAACAATAGGGAGGAAAAAAAAAAAACAGTGAATGTTGAATGACATTCAATTCTTTCTCACACTCAAGCAATAGAAACAGAGAAAGTTACAAAATCACATTTGACAAAATAATGTTTTGGACAATTACATTTCTGTTCTTTACCACAAATCACACTTTTTTATTATTATTCTTTTAATATCAAACCAAAGACTGTTACCAAGTGGATAAATTATTGTAAAGAACATTAAAATTTCAAAATAGCCTGAACTGCACAATTAGTATTAATGGCATAGGTTTGTTTATAAGTCAGTGTGATATATTCATGCTTTTATGCTTCTTGTAGCATATCAGCTGAAGTTTGTTAAACTAAAATTAAAGCCCGAGTGCTTGTACTGTTTCTTTCATCATTATTTGCAAACCTTTGGCACTGCTCTCAATGAAACACATTACGTAGCCTGCAAGTGATTATTTTGCACTGTGTGTTTTTATTGGATGTGGATTTAAATTATGCTTCCCCTCTGGAGTCTGGGCTTTCTTCACTTCTTGTAACAGTATTGGGACACTGAAGGGTGTGTGACCAGCTGAACCGAAATCCCCGTGGGATTCCCATAATTCCCTCCTCAGTACACAAACATTAGGTAATGGGGTAAACCTACATTACATTAGGAACGACAATAAAGACAAGTCTGCGATTTTATCATTAGTAATGTCACTAGTAATAAAGTTGAGTTTATACTTACGTTAAATTACAAGACCACAAAGTGGAAAATCAATTTTCTTTCTCAGTAATTCCACCAATCTTTTGAAAGACATTTTGGTTGATTTGATTAATGTATTTAATTTGTGTCTATGAACATACTTTTACTGTCTCTCTTTGGAACACAATCATTGTATCAAAAAAAAAAAGGCCAATCAAAATGGTTTTGTGGAGGTCAGATGGGAAAAGCAATCACAACAAATTTACACTCCAACATTACCTTTAGCCATGCCAGACCCTTTGCAAGTCTGAAAGTAAGTCCTTCAACACAGCATCATCTTAACTCGCCAGCGCTGGCTCTGTCTGATTAAACTGTATGCGCTTTGATGATGGGAGAGGAGAGAAAAACAAGCCCACTTTCCATTAGCCTAACGGGATAGAGTCTGGCTCTGACAAGAAGCCTGCCTGGAGAGAGAACCCAGAAGAGGATCTAATCCATTCAGCAGAAGCTAATGGGAGGGGAAGAGGGGTCCATTGTGATTTGAGGGATAGGTTAGTGCTGGCAGGCTGCTCATCATGGGTGATTATAGTAGGTGGAGCAGCGGGAGTGTGCTCGGTGGGAGACAGAGTCATGATTCTGATTCATCAGGCTAGTCTAACAGTAACCGTAATGAGAAGACCTAGTAGTGTTTGAAATAGAGGCAACACTTGACTTTAGAGAGAAACTGTACAGAAAATAGAGGGAAGAAGAAAAAAAAAAAAAAAAAAAAGACAGAGCAATATAAAGATGCAGAGGAAGAAAATGAGAATTAGATGAGATAAAAATTGAGAGGGACAGTTTTATGATTGCTAAGTGCCTCTAAATGGAGTAGATCAGGTGAAAACCATGGTTATTGACTCCGTACTGTGCTGCCCTGCTGTACAGTATGGTGAAGATTGAAATCATTCTTACAGTGGCACCGATTTCCCAGGCAAACATTAAGCTCAAGTGATATCCCTATACAGCCCTATCCGGCAGTGATAACAATCTATTTGATGCAGACAACACAGAATATACACTTCAAAAGGGTGATGCCTTTTTTATCGGTTTTCCATAAGTCAAAAAGAAACTGCAAATCTGGGCGGGACACGTCAGCCACAGTGACTTGAAATGGCTTTGACAAGGTTTGAAAGCATGATGATTGAGCTGATACTATAAAACGAGTCCCTTCAAGTGGGATTTTGACAACAAAGTGTAAGCAGTTGTGTTATGTAATATGTGCTGTGCTGCAGTAGCATTGTCTTGATGTCACAGCTATACTCTTACAAATCTGTTTTCCCCACTGTCTCCTCTGGGGTTTCATTACTTTTCAGAATTTGACTGACAGATCCTTTCGGGAACAGTTAAAAAATGAGCCTAAACTTTGGAGGTAAGAGAATGTTTCTCATTACTTGGAAACAATTGTGTTTGTCCTCCTACTGAAAATGCTTTTCAGTAGGAGGACAAACACACTAACAGAGAAGAAATGAGGACCACCTACGGGAAAAACGGAGCACCGACTTAAACATGTGTCGCAGCTTCTCTAATGTGTATACACTAGTGCTGCTCTCCCCTTCCCCCGCACTGTTTCTCCAGGTTTATACTGTACACAACGAAACGGATTCAGATTCTACAGGCTTTTTACCAAGCTAAGTTCAAAGGGACACTTGAGTCCCATGTTAGTAAAACCCTTTTTTCCCCACTGCTTCTATCTCCAGAATCTATAAATCTATCATGATATACAAGTCAGTCTGTGAGAAGCATTTACTTGGCAGCCAAGATTTTGTTTGGAGAGGAATACAAAGATGAGAGAGAAGATAAAGACTGAAAAATGGGATGAGGGGAGAATACTCACAGGCAATGCGGACGTGGGCTTTCCGACTCTTGGTGGTCCCTGCGGAGCTCCAGGCCACACACTGACACCAAAAGTCCTCCGGCCCAAACAGCTCCTCCACCTGCTGCCGAGTGATTTCTATGCTGGCTTCTCTCACTACGAGGCCTGTGAGGAGAGACAAATAATCAAAAGACAGCAAGATAGAAAAAACAAGCAAGACGAGAGGACAGGGACGGTAATAAGAGATATAGAAAAGAGGAAAAGGTGTTTTAATGAGGAGAAATGAAAAGGGGAAGGGGAGAAAGTGAAGGAGAATGACAGATAAGTTTTTAACATGGTGAAATTTTAAGAGGGGAAGGGGAGAAAGTAAAGGAGAATGACAGATAATATCAAGTTTTTAACATGGTGAAATTTTAAGATAAAAAATAAGTAAAACTAAAACCAATCATTTAATATCATACTGTATATACCAACTCTCACACAATCCGTTTACTAGATCCCATTAAACAAATCAGTCACATTATATGCTTTGACACTGAGTATTTGTGTATGCATGTTTGTGTCAGTCTGGCTCCGGTTCTAGAGCCAGAGCTGTTTGGGTCTGGGCCTTGAGGGGGGGGATTCTCTGCATTATGGCTAACACAATCCTGTTTGCTAACTCCTCTGATTACTGCTCATCTGGGTGCCAGGCCCCAAACAAACAAATCATCCCAAAAACAAATGTCTCTACCCACAGCTGCCCCTCTAGAGCAGATTATGCTGCAGCAACAGTGTGTGTGTGTGTGTGTGTGTGTGTGTGCGTGCATGTGTGTGTGTGCGAGCATGTGAAATGAGTGCATGCATATGTATTATGCGAAGCAAGTGTGTTCACTAAAGATACAAATGCATCCCATGCAATGTCATGCCTTATTTCAGCACTCACTCAATCAACTTTGACAGAATGGGATATTTGCAAGGGCAGTGGTGATATCATGAATTTCTTGTAAAAAAAGGAACATTTACAACGTAAGACATATTATATAATGCAGCCATTATGAGACTCCTGAGTATCTGAACTCAATGTGAGCAGCATAATAAGTGAATTATTTCATACAGTATGTGTTGGAATGGTCCTTATAGTTCCAGGTGGACGCTGCTGGTCTCTAGACCAACCAGAATTTCAATAATATCCTGAAAACATTTTACAGTGCTGCAACAGTTCTTTAGCTTTTAAGAACCTGCTGTGACTATCCCATAGTACCTCATCCCCAAAGTGCTGCTCTATTAGGTTTAGATATGGGGGTTGTGCAGTCCACTGGGGAAAAAAAGTCAAGTTGATGTAATTTTTCCTGGAACTGTCATGCTCACATACCTGGATGGCAATAATGTGAAAGAGGACTATGACATTCAAATTATGCTATTGAAGGGCCTTTTGTGTGCATAGGACACATTCACTGCACCATTACATCACCATCTCCAGCCTTTTCCATTACAAACATGTTTGTTTATCAAAGTTAAACCCTGACTATTTTGCAGCACACTATCTGACCTTGCCACTTTTCCCCCACTTGGCTTTCTTAATGATGTGTAGCCTCTTTTTTTATTAGCTGATTGAATGACAGAAACTGGAGGTCAAGTTAACTGAAATATTTATTAACCACCGTCACACAGGGCATAAAGTTGTATGTGCAAGATATTTGGTTAATTTTCTTGTAAAGAAAATATTTTATCAAGAAGAACCTTTTGTTGTTCTGGTGTACTACAGAAAACCAACCTAATGCGTGCATTTATGTTGGTGCAACTTAGCTGCAGCTAATAAAATTAAGCAGTGTGAGCAGTGACGGTAATACTGACTACTTACTAGTTTTGGCCGATATTGTTTTTACAAGCTGCAGCTGTGTTTTTTTTTATGATGGCACTTCGGTAAAAATGGTCCCTTGACAAGCAAAAAATATTACTATTGCACCAGCTGCATATTTAACAGTTTATACAAGTTGCATTTCCTCGTGAACTGAGCTTACCTAAGAGATGCTGTTGTGCTGTTGATGTGACATCATTACCATGCACTGCCTGAAATTGTGTCACAGATCATTGACTCATCGGCATCCCAATGTTCCCTCAATCAGTAACCTAATCTTTGCTCAAAATCTAATTCATTACAAAGTGATTCAGGACCTACTCAACTAGAGACAAAATTGATCAGTTTGATACACACTGTGATCCCACGCCAGTAATATTACAATGCAAAAAAAACAAAAAAAAACTGGTACTTCGTACTTTAAAATGTGCATAAGCTCACTCAGGTGTCACTAAAACTATAGTCTCAGTTTCCAAATATTTGGACAGCTTTTACCCTCCACCTATCGTTTTCTGTGATTGGGATTTTCATTTTGTGTGGATCCAGTCTTGTTATGTGTAGTATTATGGAAAATACACTGTGACAGGAAAGATAAACCATACAAATAACTGCTGCTTCTGACTTAATATTGCTAAAATGAACAAAAACCTTAAATCAATGATTTTTAAAAATGACTATTTCAGTAAATTTGTCTCATCCTACCACATTTATACTGTACAAAGGGTTAGGATTTATTGTCTAGTTCTGTGTACAGCCTATACAGAAGGCGTCTGAATAAAAGAATAGGTGGTTAAAAAATAAACATGCCATTTTACTTCAGGTTCAGTGCATTCACACAGCCTCCTTGTTCTGGCACACACAGTGACATCCCACACACCAGCTTAGCTCTCATGTAAAATTTACACCAAGTGCCGATAGGCAGAGAAACAGCAACGTCTGTTGTGTGAGCGTTTGCCACTGCATGTATGTGTGTCTACATGCATATGTGACTGTCTGTACTTTATGCCAATGTGTTTCTCTGAGAGGATGTGTATCGATAGCTTGAAAATGTTGAGGATAGATGCAATGCTGGGAGAACATTTAACACAAAGTAGCAGAGGGAAAATCAATAGCAGAGTAGTAATATGAATTCTCTCAGGGTGTAAAACACATGCCACGATCAGTTATCAGTTGTCTATGCTCCAGACTGTTTGTGAAGAAGTTCTGTCAAGGTGACCTAGCTGTCTGATGTTGCAAAAGGCCCTCTGTGTTGTAAGATGACCTAAGTGAAGATGATGACCAGCTATATAACTGAATGACTTCATGGCTATTACTAAAGCTGGACTGAAGTCTTTCTGACATGACGCATTTGAAAAACATCTGAAGGAACACTCTAGCAGAAAAGCTCAGAACCGAGCCTGCTGACATCACCTAGGGACTCAGGGAGCAGTTCTACACTGTACAACATTACAGTGGTAACAACAAAACACACACAGTTCCACTCAATTTGCAATCAAGAGGTGCAAAGCAAGTGTGGCCAGCAATGAGGGGGCTACTTCACACCACGTCAATGTGGCCATTAGCCGTAGAAATGATTGTACAATATGTCCCATTAATAGCAGGCTGAAGTAGGGTGCCTCATTGGAAATGATCCATTATTAATGTGGTCATTAAAGTAAGCTTGCCTAGCTCCTACTGTTAGCACTGGCTAACATTATTGATCGGACAAGCCAGGCAGAAGAAGAGGCATTGGTCAATGAAGAAGAGGTGGAGGGGGGTAAGTGGTGTGATTATCTGGTCAGATGGAGAGTACTCCTGTTTGATCTCCTAACTCATATCTTTGAGATAGTCTCCAGTGTATATTAAACTAGCTGCACCTAGTTCTAATTAATTTGCTGCTCATTTGCTCAGATCAATGCTACTTTTGCTCAAGGGAGACTATAACCTGCCCACAACACTATTCAGGTGACTGCAGGATGACTATCTAAAGCTACATTCACACTATTGAGAAGGCTATTTGTAAAAACTGCCATCACGCTTTGTTTCTTGTCACCACTTTTTCATTTTTGCTTCCTGCTAAGTGACATTTTGTGCACATTATCTGAATCTATGGCTTTTGTTCAAACGCGCCCCCATTGCATCATTCAAAACATGTCTCAATTCACATCAGAGTAGTTCCAGGTCACATGTTGATATAGATAAAACTTGCCTTCTCTATTTTTCCCCAGCTGAACTATAACAACAACGAAATGACTCTTTACCATGACAATTCATTCTGTCAACTGAGTAAACAGAACTTTTTCTCTGTGAACATGCACATATTGTTTCTGCTCTTTTATTGTGTTACTGGCTGCTGCTCAAAGGATAATCACATACAATCAAATGGTCTATTATTTTCTAAATGTAATCACCTGCTCCTTAGAAAATGATCATGTCCAATTATGCTGCTTGAGATGGTAATCAGTTTTATGTACTAGATGTACTTTTTCTGGTTGTTTTATTGTTTTGTGTTAAATACTTGTGTGTCGTGTGCTCTCCACGTGGACTACTGTATGTCACATCCACTGGATTACACGGCCTTTAGACAGTACACAGCTCTGGCATGAGGTCTCTTGAAAGCTACAGCAGAGGGCTGCAGGTGTGTTATCTCATGCTTTGAAGAACATTGTGCATGCCTTTAGATTTTAAATGCTGCTTTTAGCAGGTGAGTGTTTTCAGGAGACAATTATCTTATATAACTTTTTTTTTTTTTTTTAAAGTACTCCCCCCTTTTGAAAGTTTGAAAGGTTTCATGTTTTGTTCTGCAAAATGACACATACTCATGCACTGTCAGGTTGACTAGGGACTGTAAAGTAACTGGTTTTCAAATGCAGCAACAACTGAATTATGATCCGGCATTGGGTCTGGTGGCCAAAAAGTTCATTTTTGATCTCATCACACCATACGGTACAACTTTCTTACAACTGACTTTAATGTCTCCCTTGTGCCTTCTGGCAAACAGAGCCAAGATGTCGAGACTTTTAAATGCAATAAAGCTGCGACTGCTGAAGTCAGGCAACTGTTGTTGTATGCACAGTCTGTCTAATCAGAGCCCTTGACACTTGTAATTCCTTAAGTGGTGACATAGGTTTCTCGGTGGCTTCCCTCACTAGTCTTTTCTTTACATTTGTCCTCAGTTTGAGGACAAACTGCCATAGGCAGAATTGAGGGATTTAAAAAGTTCTTTTAGTAACAGGCTCAAACACCCACATTGTTCAAAGGAATGGTTTTGCAGGTACTTTGTACTATTATCTTCTATTAGTACTAGTTCTAGTGTGTGTACAATAATGTGTCCTATTTATTATGTACATGTATTTTTTATACTGAATTGTTTTATACTGTGGTATTTTCTCTGCTGTAGAAATGACATCTCCCCCCTTGTCAAACCTTGTCAAATGAGGAAAAAAATGAACTTAAATGATTTTAGCATATGGCTGCAATATAACAAAGAGTGACAAATTTAAGGGGGTCTGAATACTTTCTGTACCCACTGTATGTGAAGTGAATTGCACCTTTGCTTTTTTGAGTGTGTCAAACATCTGGGTAAAAATGCAATGCATGCAGCTTCTAGACTAAATGAACACAACATCTGCAGTTTAATTTACCCTGCCTCCTGCACTCTCAATCTCATCATGTCACACTCTCTTAGCACTCATTATTTCTTTTTATAAGCTCATAACCTCTCACCAACATAACAGTGAAATAGAGAGAGGGACATAAGAAAAAAGAGCAACACAAGGGCAGGGTAAAGAAGATGGTAGAGAGAAAAAGAGAGAGAGATCCAATTACTTTGGGCTACACAATCAGTGGTATTGACCAGGCCGGCCAGTTGCTATTGGTGTTCTTTTTCTGTCAATCTGGGGAAATCAGAGAGCAATGGAGTGGGCTGTGATGGTACACACATCCACTGGGATGTAGCAATGTTGTGTGTGTGTGTGTGTGTGTGCATGTGTGGCGGTGCAAGAGCATAAATGAATGAATATCTGAGTGGCAAATAGCCTCTGGATATGGCTGTGTAGAGTGAGTGCATGTATGATGTGTGGGTTGTTTTCCATGTTGATGCTTTTAGCACAAAACCTACTGACACAAAAGCTAAAAGCCACTGTTACATTCACCCTCTACTTTGTCATAATCATAACCATGAAACAAACCTCAGAAATGTTTATTCTTCCGACAGTACACTAGGTCAAAATGAAAGGATTTCTAGTTGGGATTCAGGTTGTTTTTTAATATCACATTTATATTTGTGCTGGCTGCAATACTCTTTTTTGTTATTTGTGTATCTGATTCTGTGTCTTATGGCTGCTGTCTATAACTGTGTTTTTCATATAGTGTAGAGGAACCATACTTTAAATATCTTAAATAAGTGAATGCTTGCCAATAAAGTGTATGTGGGTCACACACAATAAGTCAGCATTTACATTTGAGCGAAGGAGCTGATGTCATCGTGTTTGTGTGCGAGTATGTAGACATGTGAGGAAAAACAGGGGGATGAAAGGGTAAATGTGATGTGAATTGGTACCTGTGGGCAACAGAAAAAAAAACTCAATTTCCAATACAGCAGCTGAATGCAGCCAATCAGTGCTGGGCTGTTGTGTGTGTAATGGCTCTGGTGCCTTCAGGGGGTGAATTCTGTCAAAAACAACCCTGCTGGAGCTTCACTAGCTTTATGTCCTCTAGATGCTCACAAAAAATGTACATAGACATGCACCTAGACACTACAGATGTGGCTGTGTGCTGAGAAACCTTTAGTCAAGGCATTTCTGCAAATAAAGCGATGCCACTAGACGTGCTTGGCCAGTAACAGTGACATGCAGACAAGCCATTGTGTGTTTGTTGTTGAGCATGCAGTATGTTTATGTGTGGTCAGTGTTACCTCCCACAAATTATGGTTACCTGCTACAAGAGATATGATTACTGGAAATGTTGGGTTTCCTAAGCATAACGATAAATCAAAAGTCACATTGTAAGGGGAACAAATTGAATACATTCTATTTACATTGAAAAATGTTGCACTGGCAGTAAGATAAATGTTTTCACATTATATTGACTAAAACATATTTGCAAATGTGTTGTATATGAATCATTTTTAGGATAAAGGGTTTGTTTAGATGCAGGCATGAATAAATATGTCATTGATCTGTTCACTGACCAGAGTTCTCATCAACCCGTTCCTCCACAGTGTGCTCCTTCTGGTGAACCCACTCGCTGTTGCACTTGAAGTAGATCTGGGTAGCGGGTGTGGCCTTGCAGTACAGGTTCACTGGCTTGTTCTTGACTATGTAGGCCTCCTCTGGTTCCATCAAAAACACAGGCAGTGGCTCTGGGGGGTCTGAAGGAAAGGCTTGGGGCAGCTCAATACCAGTGAAATCGTCCTCAACTGTGAAGAAAGAGATGGCGACAAGATGGAGGGAGGAAGGGAACAGATGAAAGAAAGAACGAGACAAGGAAGAAGAAAAAAAGAGAGAAAGGCCAAGACAGAAAAAGCAAAAGAGAGAAAGGATGGGTTGGGAGAGAACGGAAAGCAGACAAGAGACAGTGTATTATAACCACAGTATTTGCATAGGATTATCCATTCGCATAGTACACAGTGGAATCCCTATCATTTGATATTTTGGAATGTTTACACAAGTGTATTTTAGAGTTCAGGAAATTCTGGGATTCCTCTCTGTAAATAAGGCTGCATGGCTTTACAGAACCTGGGCCTTGCTTGGTCTAACCACAACCAGCTACTGATGAGAAATGAGAGAAAGGCAGAGCCAATAATGAGAAGCAAGCAAAGTTCAGAGGTTGACTCTGAGGAACTGAAGTTATAAGCTGATCTCTCTCCGTCTCCAAGTTTCCCAGTCTTTCTCTTGCTCTCTTTGCTCTCGTCTCACTTTCTCACACACGCAGCAGATGACCTCAGGCTTTGGCCCAGTTTGTGCCATTCCTCGGATACTTCTGCAGTAGACAGATACGCTTCCCTGTAATTACAACTCCCTTTCATCTCCCTATCTGAAATCACATACACATCTGCATGTGTACAGTACGCGCACTCGCTCACAACATGAACAAATGCTCACTGTGGCACAAAACATTGCAAGCACACAAATATATGGGCATACGCCCACAAGCGAGCACAGCTAAAATTCTAACTCTTTGAAGAGCGGAGTAGGAAGCCTATTTGCCACCCCATTTGTCACCTCCAGAACTGTTCTATTCTTACCATCAAACCGGTAGACATCAATTATTCACAAATGTGAAAGGAAGAAGGCAGAGTAATAGAGACAGAGATACAGTGGGAAACAGAAGGTGAGAGAGAGAGAGAGTGATAGAGGAAGAACAGAGAGAGACAGCAAAAGTAACTCAACCAGACAGATGTAGATTGAGCCATCAAAATGAAGTTGGGCAGACAGACAGAAACATAGCACAGGAGGACAGAAACAGGAAGGCATACTGTTCAGATAACAAAAGAGTTTATCAGTCCATCAGTAATTCTTCCATGTCCTTCTATCTGCCCGCCCCTCTGTCCTGTGTGGACACGCTGGAGCCTTGTTGTCTGACAGAGGTTGCCTTCTGGATGCTTTGGGAGCACTAAATAATGTCTTAGCTGAGCAGATATCTCGCCATGATGTCTCTCTAATGTTATCTCTCCCCCCCCATATACCTGCCACAGATTGAAGTTGATTGCTAGGAAATGAAAGGGCAGGGGAAGCCAATCAGAAAACAACCAAAGCTATCACCACGAAGGAGGAAGGGTTTGTCTCTGATCTGCTATTAAAGTGTTTGTCTATGTGCATATACAGTGAGTGTGAATGATGCTGGTGACTGCTCGTTTCTTTGACTCATAATCTGCTGCTAATTGAAAAGCAGCTGTAAAGCCTTAAGTGACCCATGACCTTTAAGAGTAACCACCTTCGTTCAATTTTTATGTTTAGCTTTCTAAACAAGAAAAAAAAAACAACAACATCCTTTAAGTCTTTATGTAGGTGATGACTCCAATGTGGAAGTCTATTTCAGCAGACCTTGGCTTAGTCTGTTCGTTTCTGCTCCATAGTCCTCAGTCCACCCACATCCTCAGCCAAGGGACCCTGACCCAGAAACAGGCAAAGAGAGCCAAGGAAACTCATTAAAGATTGTGTTAGCCTTTTTACACCCTCCATTCCCATTATCTTTCCATCTCTGTCTCCCTCCTAGCTTGCTCGCTCTGACAAACTGTGAGGCAGAGAGATCTGAAACAGCCATGAAAGCGTGGCTCTCTTACACACAGAGAGAGACACGCGCCTCATACGCTCACGCACATACACCCGCGCAGGCATTAATGCGCACAGAGGCACACACGAAGTTGCTCACAGATATTCGAATTCATCAACTTCCTCCATGTGAGTAATAATAAATTCACAAGTATGGAACTAGCCCTCCAGTGAAAAATCAGACCCGAAATGAAAAAAGAAACCACATGACAAAATGAGAGAGCTTGACTCTTACCAATCACGCTGCCCCCCACTCCCCACCCCCCACCCCTGTGAACACCCAATACCCAGCACCTCCCCTATTCCCTCACTGGTGAACAGAATACTAAGAGCAACAAAAAGCTGAAAGACGACAATGCCCCCCTCCCCACTTTCATGTGCAATGAAAACACAGTTTATGATAAAATGGTTTAGAGGCCTATCACAATGATGTGTGTAGTCACAAACCTATACTCAACAAGTGCTGAATGCGTTACCATATTTTACAGATCAAATATGCATAATGAAATATATACTTTCCCTCTTATTTTAGTGTCATATCCCTTTAATAGGAACATTAATTATGGCATGTCACCACTGTTTGATATGCAATATGGATTTTTCCAAGCATTTGTAATTCTGTGGCTTGATTTTAATCAGAAATCTTCAAAATGGAATTATTGAGTATTTAAAATTTAATGACTCATGTCCTCGCAGCACTTTTGTTCTAATTTTATTTTGCTCTGTAATTGGGGTGAGTTTTCCTAATTCATATTGCAAGTCTTATTAGTGAATATTTTAACTCAGACTCAGATTGAATATTAGGTGACTTTTATATCAGGTCCATATTCTCCGTACGAAAGGTTTTGAAGATAAATGAGCTGCATATTGCCCTCAAAATAATGCTGATTAATGAATTCAATTTGCCTTCTTGCATTGTCAATGAGTTAATCGGGTACAGGGCAAAATGGTTTGGGAAAAAAGCAATTTAAAAAGGGATCAGCATTGTTTAAATTAATCCAAGCAAGTGGGGTGAAGTGAGGTAGGAGAAGGTCTTGACTAGCAGTCAGTCATTCTCTGTGGGAATGGGATAAATGGGATATAAGGAATGTAACGACACATGCATTTTGGACTGGAGCAAATCGAAGTCAGACTAAGCTCATAACACTGGCACAACTTTAAAGCACATCCTCATAAAGGATGTGCACAAAGAGGCATATTTTGAATGAAAAACAATATCAATGCTACATAAATACATAAACTGTTGCTACAGAGTAACTCCCACACAGAAATGTACATTAAACGGGAAAAAAAGAGATCCCCTGCATGTCCATCTCTGTTACAATGAAACTGAGGAATAATCATCCAAATCCATCCATATATAAAGCCTGAAGCCATTTCTGATATGTCAGCACTATTAAAAGATACTATAAAAAATATTAGAAAGGTCCATTTTACTGTTTGAGTCGATCTGCAGAATGTACAAAAGGAATACTTCAAACTTTATTCGGTGTTCAAACTACCCCAACTCTGCTCAGCACAAAAAACTAAATTATCAGGCCAATCTGATCACTATTAAAATAAAGATTTCAGATGTTAACCAGTTGTGTAACAATTCAGATTAACATTAGACACATTTGATAATTTATAAATTGAGTTATTTTATTAATGATAGAAATACAAAGCGTAAAAATGCATTTCCAGATTACATGCTATAACCTCTATGTATGCTGTATACAGCATATACACAGTACTATTGTGGATCTATCACCTGTCTTCCTGTACTCTTTTTAAGACTGCATTTCTTATATCATATATTGTATACGAGTGTGTGTGATAACAGCTGGGCTCTGACACCACTGTGCAAGATAAGCTCTCACTATTCTATCTGTATTCAAGCAGATTTATTGTCCCAAGGAAAACACCATATCTGTGGGGCCAGTGTTTCCCTCCCATCAGAGGAGTGTCAACCATGAACAAGGATGAACACTGGCGTATAGTAAATATTCTACCTCTTCGTTGCTGTTTTGTTCACATTTGTGTCCTTTTCACTCACTTCACTTTTCTTTCCACTCATCCTCCTTATCATTCACACATACATCCCCCCTCCAGATAGAGGCAAAAATGACAAGTGGTTGGCTAGATAGCTAGACTGCAGGGGCTTTTACTAGGCAATGTTTTGTTATGCCATAATGCGGAGGGACAAAAGGTGGTTTGCAGCTGAGTGGACAAGCAGAATAACAAACCACTCAGTTGTCATGTCAATTGAAGCAGGATAAATAGACTGTCAATCAGATCTGCTTAGAAATGTGCTTTGAGCACACCTACACATTATATTGAGTGAACATAAATCAATGTTAACGACTTTCTCTAGTCAGTACTTGTTAGTATTGGATTAAGTAAAGACCCATACATCCCAGTGGCTTAAATCAATATGTATGGATGCTGTTTTAAAATGCTTAGATGCTCCATGAGAAACAGGCAGAATGAGACCTCCTTTCACTCTAATGTCTCTTTCCAGCTGAGTGCTTTATATACACTAATGTGTCTGCACACTTTGTCCGCAGGGCCCCATCTAACGCTTGGCTGCAGCAGGTATTTATTGATTACTGTCAGGGGCCAGTGACCCCTCCCTCATCCGGTCCTCTGCTGGGCTATGGTAAGCACACTCATATTTCACCTCTGGGGAATCCTCCCATCACACAACCTAGCAGGGGAGGAGAAGTCAAGAAAAACAAGCATGCATTCCCTAAAGTTAAAAGTCAGGTGGCTTCAACATTAACCTCTGTATCAGTTCACAGTACATAGTCATTCCATTGCAGGCCAGAGTCACAATGACTTGGCTGAGTTCATGCACATTAAAGCCACCAAATAAACTAAATGAATAATTCAATCAGGGCATTATAGAAAGGTTCAATTTGTGGGTCTTATCTTTTCCAGAGAATGTGATGTAATTGGAAAAAAGAATGTGCACAAATTGATTTAGCACTGAGTAAAGTGCAAACATGTACAGTAGCTGAGAAAAAAAAAAAAGCAGTTGCAGTTCTGAGGGTGGTGCTAAATATAAGATTTCAAATCTAGCAACCAAGACGCTGGCATTCATACAAATAAAACTACCTTGCGTCTTCACTGACCCTTTTCAATTATCTCCCCGTTACATTAAGTG